TTCTAGGTGTAATATATATATTATATATTTTTTAATAATATATAAATATTAAATAGATTTAATATATACATATTATTATAAGATATCAAAAATATATGTGTCTACTTGCTACTTCTCCAAAAAATGTACTATACAAAATAGGGTATAGACCAGCAATGGGCAAACTACGGCCCGGCGGACCTTTTAATCCGGCCCGTGGAGCTAGGCTCCCTCCTCTCACAGTCCGCCGTGTAGCATGAAAATCTGTCTCCTATGAGGATCTGTCCCCCTCGACGTATCTGCGCATGTGCCGGAGATCGCCGATCGGCTGCTAATGCCTGAAACTGGCACATGCGCAGATACGTCGAGGGGGACAGATCCTCATAGGAGACAGATGTTCATGCTACACCGGAACGGCGAGGGAACACGGCGACAGGAGCAAAGGTAAGTGAATTAACAAGGGGGGACTTAACAGGGGGATGAATTACTATATGGGGGATGAATTACTATAGGGGGGATGAATTACTATGCTTACTATGGGGGAATATTACTATACTTACTATGGATGACACATACACATCATTCATCTACTCTTGGTCCGGCCCCCGGGTCCAATATATGAACCCATTGCGGCCCTCAAGTCAAAAAGTTTGCCCACCCCTGGTATAGACCAAGGCAAAAATGGAAAAAAAAAATTGGATAAGGACCAATATCGACCTCCTATGTAAGCCCAATAAATATTGCTCTTGCCTATTATATGTGCATTTTTCAAGTTATTGTATAATTGTGTGTCAGCATAATTATTATGTTTTATATACAGTAGTACTGCTCTCCCTTATACAGAAGGTACGGTCCTGAGGAAGCCAAAGGTCCAGGTGAAACGCGTTGACCGTACTCTGACTTCTTACTATAGTTGGAACTAACATTCTCGGTGACAATAGTACATGGAAGGGAGTAATTACGTACCTACTTTTATTCCCCCTTGTTGCTTTTTTTTTTATTTAACTATTTATTAATTTTTCAGATAAACAAGTTATACAAACAAACTCATTAAAACCCTAGCATATTATCAATACATTTATCCGTTCATCCTTTTCCGTCCATCCCCCCTACCTATATACCACCTATCCAATCCCTGACCCTTTCTGCTCTGCATTTTCCTGTTCATTTCTGAAGAAAGAAATGATACCCCATTGTTTTTTTTGGGGGGGGGGGGGGGGGGGGAGGGGGGGTGGCGGGGGGGGGGGGGGGGGGGGGTGGGGGGGGGGGGGGGGGGGGGGGGGGAGTATGTATATATTGTTTGTTTTATACATTGTCATATGATCCTTCTATGTCAATAAATTATTGTACCTGTAGTATTGTCTGGTCTTTCACTGTGCTTAAAAAAAAGTTTCACTGTACCTATTGTGTCCAGCAAAAGGTTTTGTTTATACAAAAAAGGAAATATACCCATGCCTGAATTGAGTGAAAAAAAAGAAAAAAAAAAAAAAAAGATACATCACGATGCTTCAAAATCAGGATTTGTAATTTAATTATCATTTGAAAGTTTAGAAAGAAACCAAGGATTCCCATTTTAGACTGAATAATCTCTTCATGTTGAAAAATTTCTGTTTTCCATAATCACAATTTCATCCATCCCAGCAATAATTTGTGGAAAGGGAAGTATAATATTCATCTTGATTCTTAATTCTGTAGTCTGTCTAAAAAAAAATAAAAGAATATACAATCTTTCAATAAAGTAGTACAGTGATGAATAGTAGCAAGTTATTTGAAAGTAGGAAAACAATCTCAAACTGAACCTCTGCAAAGGATGAATTATTCCTAGGTCACATGGTTTGGTTATAATGCTCTCTTATTGGAAAGTTAATGTCACATGATTTGTTCATAGATCTCTATACATTCAAATTTCAATGTAATAATAAATGGTCGGTCCTTCTAATGAGGTCACTGGAGTAGATTCATAAACCTTTATTAGTTGGAAGCTGTTTTTAAAGCCTACCTTCAGACAAAGGTCTCCACCACAACCCCTCAACCATTTAGCACTTTTTGCCACTGCTCATGACGTCATCATGTACATTTATATACTAGGAAGCAGCCTGGTTGTATAATAAGTGCCTATGTATTTTTAACATTGTATTTTGTACATTTTAATAAATTGGTAATTATAGTTTTACACTGTGTGGAGGAAAATGCCTTGTTGAGGTCAGAGGAGAATGGGCAGACTGGTTGGAGATGATAGAAAGGCAACAGTAACTCAAATAACCACTCGTTACAACCAAGGTATGCAGAATGCCATCTCTGAACATACAGCATGTCCAACCTTGAAGCAGATGGGCTACAGCAGCAGAAGACCACACCTGGTGCCACTCCTGTCAGCTAAGAATGGGAAACTGAGGCTACAATTTGCACAAACGCACCAAAATTGGACAATGGAAGATTGGAAAAGACTTGCCTGGTCTGATGAGTCTGGATTTCAGCTACAACATGCAGATGGTAGGGTCAGAATTTGGCACAACATGAAAGCATGGATGCATTCTGCCTTTTATCAATGCTTCAGGGTGGTGGTGGTGGTGTCATGGTGTGGTGGATCCATCCTGCATTGTATCACAGTTCAAGCTGGTGGTGGTTGTGTCATGGTGTGGTGGATCCATCCTGCTTGTATCAATGCTTCGTGGTGGTGGTGTCATGGTGTGGGGGACCCATCCTGCCTTGTATCAATGGTTCAGGCTGGTGGTAGTGGTGGTGTCATGGTGTGGTGGATCCATCCTGCCTTGTATCAATGCTTCAGGCTGGTGGTGGTGTCATGGTGTGGTGGATCCATCCTGCCTCGTATCAACAGTTCAGGCTGGTGGTGCTATAGTGTGGTGGAGATTTTCTGGGCACTAGCAAGGTGGACCTGATAAAGTGGCCAGTGAGTGTATATGTGTAAGGTACTGCCTATACAACCATCTACATGCCTGTGTAGGTGTTGCTACCTGGAAAAAAAAATGTCCCTGCATTGCTGTCAGTGGGTGATAGAGATGCCCCTGCTTTGGTGGTGTTACTAGAAGTAAAAAATGTTCTCGTTTCAGTACTGTCAGTCGAATGGAAATATAAATGAAAAATTTTTAATTTAAAATTTAAATTTTAATATAATTTATTATTATAAATAAATTTAAAAAAAATAATAAAGACTAATATTTAATATTTTAAATTAAATATAAAAAAAAAATATATAAATTATTAAAAATTTTTAAAATGAATAAATGCCCCTTCATCAGCGACAGGCAGTGCAGAGGGGGCCATTGATAGGAGACAATAGGCTGTCAGGAAAAAGATGGAACGCACACTCACTATCGCCCCTGTCACAGATCCAACCCACAAGCACATGCCCACAGCGACTAGCTAACCAAGGCATGCACATCTGGCTATGACTTGGGGTGAAGTCATAAGGGGGACTTTGACCATATAAGACTGGCCATGATACACTTTCACAGTACGCATTGCCTCTGGCCACCACTAGAGGGAGACTCCAATCCAACTGGCTGACCACACAGGCAGATACAATCTGGAATCTGGTGCACTCTAAGGGCTGGGGAGCCCTTGGCCAATCAACCCCGGGGGGGGGGGGTCCTGTACCAGCCCACAGGATGTTCTGGGTTCTGCAGTACCAAGAGCTGAATGGGCCAGGAATGGTTTGAATCACCAAGTCAGGGGTAGAAATTCCGACACCAGCGCATCAGTCTGATCATGATATTACCAATCGCTTGTTCAGCTGTCGCAATCAGGCTCCATATAGCCGTTTTCTGCGTTTCTCTGGGATTCCACAGGGGCTACAAATACAGTTTTGCATGTAGATGGAGCCTACAGTGTGTCCAGTCAGAAGGAAGTAATTTTCATCTCTACAACTAATATTTTAGCTTTTATGAGAGATGAAATAGATCCCTTTGATCTGTGGATATACCTCAGAGCTAGCAGACAGATTGGAGCCACTCCTGGTCTCCTGCTGCTTCCCGAAGCCAAAATGACTGGAGCTCTTCTTTTAGACTTCAAGAAGGTGGCAATTTCTGGGTACATAGGTGACAAAGTTTTATTGGCATCCAGGTGTCACCTCCAGCCTAGCAGCTGCTCTGTCCTTTCAGATGCTAATTGGTGAACATAAGTCTCTGACTGAATACTGAACACTGATCTTATTATATTGTAAAGTGCTGCACAAACTGTTGGCGCTATATAAATCCTGAATAAAAATATCTGTAATAACATAAGGTGAGATCTATGACATTTCTACAGATCACATCACAGCTATCCAAATCCTACATTTATATTACAGCCCCCCAGTCTTAGTAGCCCCTCATTTCCTCCACACTAACCCCAGGGCCACCAGCAGTTGGTAGCGGTTTTGGAGTCCATTCCCAAGCATGGGGATGCCCTCTATCTACAGCTCTGCTTCACATAGGAGCTAAAGTCCATGGCTGTTGTTCCAATGAGTAACACCACAATTTCCACCCCCTCTCCTCTCCCAACCTATACTGTCCAATCCGAGTGTAGGGAGGGTAGGGATCCAGTATGGCAGCCACTATGCCGAGACGAGGTGGCTCACTGCCATAAGTGGATGTCCTTTAAGCTTTAGCCGCAAGTGACAGCTGCAGCTCAGGAGTCAGGATGGCCTCCATGTGTTCAGTGCACAGTGGTCCCATTCCCCTTGGGGCCCGAGTGCCTTGCACACATGGATGTTACATAACTGAATGAGAGCAAAGTGTCCCCTCGTTACAATGGAACATCTTAAAAACACAAAGTCTAATGTTGGCTGAATTTTCTTGACCAGGATTATGGGTACCGTCTGTAATGACATCCTTACCATTGCACTGTCCATCATCTACTGCCCAACTTCTGCCGAAGTCAGCCTCACTAGCCGCCTGAACGCCAGTTGGTGTCTCAAAATCATCTGCAGAGTTGCCATTACTGTTGCCGCAAAGTCCACGTACTTTTTGGTTAAAGGCAATGGGAATTGTTAATTTTATGAAGTTTTTCTTGTCCCACTCCAAAATTAGACCGAAATCTATTTTAATAATCACGAAGTGTTCGAAACTTGAAATTTTAGCTCTTTTTTTAAGAATTTCATTATTAACCTAGAACAAGCGGGATAGAAAAAAGGATTTTTTTCATATAAAGTCCATAATGATACATAAAATGACCAAAAGCATGCTTTAATTGAGGTGTTTCCAGTTAGGGTCCTGTTAATACTACAGCAAACAAAGACATTGTAGATAATTGTGCTCTCCAAGCCTTTTAGTAACAGTTTGGTGAAGACCGCTTTCTGTTCCATCATAACTGTGCCCCTGTGTACAAAGCCAGCTCCATAAAGACATGGTTTGACCAGTTTGGTGTGCGGGAACACAAATTTCCTGCACAGAGCCCTGACCTCAGCTGTATTGAACACCTTTGGGATGAACAAGAACCTTGTGAGCCAGATCTTCTGGAAAGCCAGCTCCATAAAGACATGGTTTGACCAGTTTGGTGTGTGGGAACACAAATTTCCTGCACAAAGCCCTGACCTCAGCCGTACTGAACACCTTTGGAATGAACTAGAGCCTTGTAAGCCAGATATTTTCCTCCAAAATCAGTACCTGACCTCACAAATGGGCACAAGTTTCCATGGACACCCTCCCAAATCTTATGAAAAGCTGTCCTAGAAGAGTGGAGGTTGTTTTAGCCACAGAGGAGGCCACTCCATATTAATGACCACGGTTTTGGAAAGATGTCCAACAAGCTCATGTGGTCAAACGTTTGCAGAAGCACAACCATCATACCCACCTAGTGTCTATGCATAAGCATGGTCACTTACCTTTGTGAGCTTATTGTTTTTGGTCTTTTTATTTTGTGAAGGATCTGTGATCTCAAGAGTTGGATTTATAATTTTGGTGTTGTCTTCATTCTGGTATGCAATCTTGATTCTAAAACCAGGAAGGTTGGTGTCATTGTGGTAAGTCTCGGCAAGCGTGTAGGTGCAAGGGGCTTGGAAGCCAAAAAATTTGCCATCAAAGGTCTTAAAGTAAGGAGGAAAACCGGATACTTGACAATTGGCTTCTGAGACCTCCACACAAGTGGGTTGTCCATTTCCTATTTGGCATTTTGTTCCAGCTTGACATATCACATCACCGCAGAGAATCTTGGGAGGGACAGTAAGTGCTGGTGGTTCTGTGAAGAAAGCATTTTCTGCTTGGTTATAAAACGGTTCGAAAATTTTCATTGACTTCAACTTTTTTCTTCCCAACGGATAATATGTAATAAACTTGTAACAAAATGTAACAACAACATTAACCACTTCAGCTCCGAAAGTCCCCTTCATGACCAGCCAATTTTTTTGCTAAACCACACTGACTCTTTAACTGGTCATTGCGCGGTCAGGCAATACTGTACCCAAACAAAATTTATATAATTTTTTCACACAAATAGTGTTTTTTTTGGTGGTGTTTGATCACCACTGGGGATTTTATTTATTTAAACAAAAAAATATAAAAAAATATTTTTTTTTTTTTACTTTCTCTTATAAAACATATGCAACATAAAAAATTTAAAAATCAAATTTCTTCATAAATTTTGGCCAAAATGTAGTCTTTGGTAAAAAAAATCCCAGTAAGTGTATAATGATTGGTTTTCATGAAAGTTTGTAGGCTCTATAACTTTGGTATATAAAGGCGTACCTCGATTTATGAACGCCTCGGTTAACGTAATTTTCGGTTTACAAATAAAAATCCATTGAAAATAACGCCTCGGTTTTCTCATTTTTTTCGCAATACGAACGGATTAATTGGTTTGCAATGCATTTACGAATTTTTTTAATCGTGTCCCTGTACAGTACTATACCTTTAACCGCCTCCCACCCGCCATATAAGGTAATGACGGGCGCAAGGCGGTTCTCTCGTTCTGGGAGGACGTCATATGGTGTCCTCCCATTCTCACTGCGAATGCGCGGCTCCGGTAGCGCGCAGCGATCTTATTATATTGTAAAGCTGTTGGCGCTTTATAAATCCTGTAAAATAAAAATATCTGTAATAACATGAGACGAGATCTACGACGACATATTTCTACAGATCACATCACAGCTATCCGAATCCTACATTTATGTTACAGCCCCCCCATCTCAGTTGCCCCTCATAATTTCCCCCACACTAACCCCAGGGCCACCAGCAGTTGGTAGCTGGTTTGGAGTCCATTCTCAGGCATGGGGATGTCCTATCTCCAGCTCCACTTCACATAGGAGCTAAAGTCCATGGCTGTTGCTCCAATGAGTAACCACAATTTCCACCCACTCTCCTTTCCCGACCTATACTGTCCAATCCGAGGGTAGGGAGGGGAGGGATCCAGTGTGGCAGCCACTATGCCCAGACGAGGTGGCTCACTGCCATAAGTGGATGTCCTTTAGCCGCAAGTGACAGCTGCAGCTCAGGAGTCAGGATGGCCTCCATGTTTTCAGTGCACAGTGGTCCCATCCCCCTTGGGGCTCGAGTGCCTTGCACACATGGATATTACATAACTGAATGAGAGCAAAGTCTCCCCTCGTTACAATGGAACATCTTAAAAAAAAACACAAAGTCTAATGCTGGCTGAATTTCCGTGACCAGGATTATGGGTACCGTCTGTAATGACATCCTTACCAATGCACTGTCCATCATCCACTACCCAACTTCTGCCAAAGTCAGCCCCACGAGCTACCCGAGTGCCAGTTGGTGTCTCAAAATCATCTGCAGAGTTGCCATTACTGTTGCCGCAAAGTCCACGTACTTTTTGGTTAAAGATGTTGGGAATTGTTAATTTCATATAGTTTTTCTTGTCCCATCGCAAAATTAGGCCGAAATCTGTCTTAATAATCACTAAGAGTCCAGAACTTGAAATTTTAGCTCTTTTTTCAAGATTTTGATTAACCTAGAACAAGTGGGATAGAAAAAGGTGATTTTTTTTTTTCATATAAAGTTCACACTGATACATAAAATGACCAAAAGTATTCTTTAATTCAGGAGTTTCCAGTTATGGTCCTGTTAATACTACAGCAAACAAAGACATTGTAGATAATTGTGCTCTCTAAGCCTTTTGGTAACAGTTTGGTGAAGACCACTTTCTGTTCTGTCATGACTGTGCCCCTGTGTACAAAGCCAGCTCCATAAAGACATGGTTTGACCAGTTTGGGTGCGGGAACACAAATGTCCTGCTCAGAGCCCTGACCTCAGCCGTACTGAACACCTTTGGGATGAACTAGAACCTTGAGAGCCAGACTGGAAAGCCAACTCCATAAAGACATGGTTTGACCAGTTTGGGTGCGGGAACACAAATGTCCTGCACAGAGCCCTGACCTCAGCCATACTGAAACACCTTTGGGATGAACTAGAACCTTGAGAGCCAGATCTTCTCCTGGAAGCCAACTCCATAAAGACATGGTTTGACCAGTTTGGGTGCGGAAACACAAATGTCCTGCTCAGAGCCCTGACCTCAGCCATACTGAACACCTTTGGGATGAACTAGAACCTTGAGAGCCAGATCTTCTCCTAGAAAGCCAGCTCCATAAAAGACATGGTTTGACCAGTTTGGGTGCAGGAACACAAATGTCCTGCACAGAACCCTGACATCAGCCGTACTGAACACCTTTGGGATGAACTAGAGCCCTGTGAGCCAGATCTTCTCCAAAATCAGTACCTGACCTCACAAATGGGCACAAATTTTCACGGACACCATACAAAATCTTATGAAAAGCCTTCCTAGAAGAGTGGAGGTTGTTTTAGCCACAGAGGAGGCAACTCCATATTAATGACCACGGTTTTGGAATGGGATGTCCAACAAGCTCGTGTGGGTGTGATGGTTGTGATTCTGCAAACTTTTGGCCACCTAGTGTCTATGCATAAGCATGGTCACTTACCTTTGTGAGCTTATTGTTTTTGGTCTTTAAAGTAGTATTTTGTGAAGGATCCGTGATCTCAAAAGTTGGATTCATAATTTTGGTGTTGCCTTGATTTTGGTATGCAATCTTGATGCTAAAACCAGGAAGGTTGGTGTCATTGTGGGAAGTCTCGGCAAGCGTGTAGGTGCAAGGGCCTTGGAAGTTAAAAGTTTTGCCATCAAAGGTCTTAAAGTAAGGAGGAAACCCGAATACTTCACAATTGGCTTCTGAGACCCCCACACAAGTGGGTTGTCCATTTCCTATTTTGCAGTTTGTTCCAGCTTGACATATCAAATCACCGCAGAGAATCTTGGGAGGGACAGTAAGTGCTCCTGATTCTGTGAAGAAAACATTTTATACTTGGTTATAAAACTGTTCGAAAATTTTAATTGACTTCAACTTTTTTCTTCCCAACGGATAATATGTAATAAACTTGTAACAAAAAGGTAACAATATTAACCACTTCAGCTCCGGAAGTCCCCTATTTTTTTGCTAAACCGCACTGCGACTAACTGGTCATTGCGCGGTCACGCGATGCTGTACCCAAACAAAATTTATATATTTTTTTTTCACACAAAGTTGTTTTTTGGTGGTATTTGATCACCACTGGGGATTTTATTTTTTGCAATATAAACCAAAAAAAACGAAAATTTAGCAAAAATATATTTTTTTTACTTTCTCTTATAAAACATATCCAATAACAAAAATGTAAAAATCAAATTTCTTCATAAATTTTGGCCAAAATGTAGTCTTTGGTAAAAAAAAAAAAAATCCCAGTAAGTGTATAATGATTGGTTTGCATAAAAGTTATAGAGCCTACAAACTTTGGTATATAAAGGCGTACCTCGATTTACGAACGTCTCGGTTAACGTAATTTTCGGTTTATGAATGAAAATCCATTGAAAATAATGCCTCGGTTTACTAAATTTTTTTTTGCAATATGAGCGGATTAATTGGTTTGCAATGCATTTACGAATTTATTTTTTAATCGTGTCCGTGTACAGTACTATCCCTTTAACCGCCTCCCTCCCGCCATGTAAGGTAATGACGGGCGCAAGGCGGTTCTCTCATTCTGGGACGTCATATGATTTTCTAATGTTACATGCAGGTGCGGACTGACAACTCATGGGGCCCCCGGGCAATAGGGGATCATGGGGCCCCTGTGTCCTTGCCCAAACTCAAAAAATCCTATGAAAAAGGTACCAGGGGCATCTCATGGGGCCCCCTACTGACCCCCGACCCTCGGGCAATGCCTGAGTTTCCAAATGGTCAGTCCGCCCCTGGTTACATGCATTATGCATGTCTATGACATTGAACATTAGTATTGCACGGGGCGTTCAACTTACCACATGTGAGAGCTAGCAACATTCCTAGTTTCATGAAATTTGGTATCGTCATGCTGCATAAAGAGAAAACAACAAATGATCAGAAGAAAAAAAAAAAAAAAAACACAAAAGATTATGAAGAGAAAAGAAATCGTTAAAGCCCCTGTCGAATTTTTATTGCTGTGTCTTTTCCTTCTGCATGCGTGCAAAACCGGGTACTCCAGTTTCCTCCCACACTCCAAAGACATGCTGGTAGGTGAATTGGCTCCTCCCTAAATTGGCCCTAGTATGTGTATGTATGCATGTAAGTTAGGGACCTTAGATTGTACGCCCCTCGGGGGCGGGGACTGATGTGAATGTACAATATATATGTAAAGCACGGCGTACATTGACGGTGCTATACAAGTACCTGAAATAAATAATAAAAGAGCTACGCTATAACCACCTCCAGATCTGGTGGTCTGAGTTCCACTTTTCCGAGCTCTTTGCACTTCAACCTTCCTATAAACAGTAATCCAGCTAAAGCTCCTGGATTGGGTGGCCCCCCACATGGAAGTAAAATATATTTGAAATACTACAATTTTGGCCGTATTCAATATATTTCAAAATATATTGCAATACATATATCGGGCGGCACAGTGGCTTTTTTGTTTTGTTTTGGAAAGAAATCGTTAAAGCCCCTGTCGAATTTTTTATTGCTGTGTCTTTTCCTTCTGCAGGCTCGCAAAACCGGGTACTCCGGTTTCATCCCACAATCCAAAGACATGCTGGTAAGTTAATTGGCTTCTGTCTAAATTGGCCCTAAGGGTGTGTAAGTATGAATGTGAGTTAGGGACCTTAGATTGTACGCCCCTTGGGGGCGGGGACTGATGTGAATGATGACTGATGTGAATGGTCCTAACCATGGCACCTCCTACATGGAGTTTGCATGTTCTCCCTGTGCTTGCGTGGGTTTCCTCCGGGTACTCTGGTTTCCTTCCACACTCTAAAGACATGCTGGTAGATGAATTGATTCTGGCCAAATCTGCCCTTGTATGTGTATGTATGAATGTGAGTTAGGGACCTTAGATTGTACGCCCCTTGAGGGTTAGGGACCTTAGATTGTACGCCCCTTGAGGGTTAGGGACCTCAGATTGTACGCCCCTTGAGGGTTAGGGCCCTTAGATTGGACGCCCCTTGAGGGTTAGGGACCTTAGATTGGACGCTCCTCGGGGGCGGGGACTGATGTGAATGTACAATATATATGTAAAGTGCTGCATAAATTGACGGCGCTATACAAGTACCTGAAATAAATTATATATATATTTTTTTATTTTTTTTATTTTTTTTTTTTTATTAGTATGTTGAAATGCGTTCTATTACAAAATATATAAAAAATATTTTTACATTCTTGGAATGCATTTACAAATATGTTGATAACATTAATACAGCAATCCTCGAAAAGAATAAAATGGGGTGGAGCCTGACTATGACGGCACGGGAGAGCGTGCAGTAAGCACTCTCCATTAGCCTCCCCCTGTTTATCCTCCCCATGAGTCCCTGATAGAGAGACCAGCTGCATCGAGGGTGTGCGGTGACTCACCCGACTGGAGACGATACGCGGTGTCCCGAAGACGGTCGGCTTCCTGGACCTCGGAGAGAGCTGGCAGAGAGCCCGGGAGAGGAACGCCTCGGGGCTCTCCTCTGATGTCCTGCGGAGGCTTAGGAGGAGTGGAGTTGCCGGGGAGACGGTCGGGCTGTCGGTCAGAGTGCCTGGAGCCAGGAGAAAGCCGGTTTCAGAGGAGGAGTGAGGTTGCCAGGGAGATACTACTGAGACGGACGAGGCAGTGGAGCGGCGCCGACACGTGGGCAGCCGCAGAGAAGCCCTGGGAGATCCGGGTTTGGGAGAACTAGCCTGACGTATAAACAAGTAGGAGAAGTGGAGGAGGTAAACCAGCACACTCCTTTCACATCACACCATCTCTCCACCCCATCTTCCTGAGACCTCAAAATCTCCCTGCTGCCATACCACTCCTACATCATACTATCCCTATTGCCTGACACCACTGCTACAATAAGGCTAACCCTCTAAACTTCTATATCTTTCCCAATCCTTAACCTAATATATATCAATACATCACCTCCAAAATAAGGAGATATATGATGGGAAAGATAAGTGACTTGAGCCATATTAGACCCAGAGGAATCCCCTTAAGAACTTATAGTGACAAAGAGGACTGCTTCTGGAGTGATATCCCAACGTGAAGGGTGAGTGAGGACCGTGGGCCCTCCAGCAGGTCTTCTTCTACACTATATATTGGATCTGTACATTGGAGCCTTATATACATTGATTCCTCGTATTAGACTTTCAGATGCCTATAGTAAGACTTTGCATTAATTACACAACCTGAAAATAAAAGAAATAGGGGATTCCTAGGGCGGGTCTGAAGATCGAGAAGAGTCCAGGAGAACAGGAAACAAGAGTAAAGGCTTTAAAAATAAAATGAAGGTAAAAACATCAAAGGGAGTGGGCCTAAGAACTCCCAAACTGGTACGATTAAGAAGTATGTGTCACAGGGAAATGTTACCCCAGAAAGATCTCAGGGAATAAATGAAAAAAGTGAATTGGAAATAAG